AGATCAGCTGAGCCAGGAAGTTTTTTCATTTACTTATTTTTACAATTGAAGAGCTGAACAGCAGCGGAGCTGTCCAGCAGCACCAACTAGATTATCAAGAGTCAGAAGCCTACAGGGCCACGGCCCAAACAGAAGGGATGCTGTCCAGGAGGTTATTAGAACTAGAAACCAGGACCTGATTATAGCACCAGCAGCTTCCAAGTCACAATGGCCAGGTTTTGAAATCAGTCTGGCTGCCACACCATCCTTGTGCCTTAGTGAGATCTTGATTCTCACCAAACTTAAGATGACGACGACAACAACAACAACAACAACAACAACAACTGCACCCCGCCCATCTGGCTGGGTTTCTGCAGCCTCCTTCCAAGAAGGACTCTGAAATAGGATGGATGATGCTGCGAAGTTATCATGCCACCAATCTTCAGCTCAGACTTGTTTCCATTTGAGGATGGCCCATAGTTCAGCAGTGGAGGATCTACTCTGCATGTAGAAGGTCCCAAGTTCAGGTTTTATTTAGTAGAAGGCAGTTCCCTATATTCCTACCTCTACTATTGAGCTGTAAGGGGTAGCAAAACTAGGGAGAAGAGTTTAGTCAGGAGGCATCAGGTGCCCTCGTTCTGCAAGTCTCCTGAGTGGGGTCATCATGGATTGTGGTCTCAGGTTTTCCACCAGGGTGCCCTAACTCTACCCGGTCCCCATCCATGATAGGGCTTGCAGTGAGGTCCTAGGTCCTCCATTTGATTTTTGCTCTGTTCCTGACACCCTGTGATATGCAGGGGGAGGGGAGGCACCAATCCTGATTCTTCCACCTTTTTCAGGGAACCTGGAAAAAAATGTGAAAAGTGCTGCAGGATTTCTCCCCAGAGCAGGGAGAGGAGATGGTGAGCAGTTGTCCCCAATCACCTATGTGCTGCTTCTGGTGAGAATCTGCCACAAGCAGATTTTTTATTATAATAATAATAAACTGTATACTCGTACCCTATCTTACAAGCAACTCAATGCGGGGAACAAACAGTATCACAAAATATGGATTCCAGCAAGGAGCTAATTTTAAGCAAGACAAGCACTGCTACAGCTCTCGCTACACCACATTTTAAAACTTCAGAAGTAATTTCAGTTTGAGCGTATGAGACACCCCAGAGTAATGTAAACATTTTATCACTGCTAGACAGTACTCCAGGCAAGGGTCACACATGGCTACTCAGCTACCAGCCTGTTATGTTCATTCATTTAACCATGGAAGTCACTGCTAAAGCCAGCAATCCTGCATGACTACCTAAGCATCAAGGGACAGAGAAATAAAGAGGAATTACATGTGCAAATCCTGCCACTTCCTCAGGTGTCATTTGTTTGTGTTTTAAGATGCAATTTCCCTGGCAATTTACATAATGCATTTCAATGTCATTTGTTTAAAGAACTGGGAGTGCTGCCTGAGGGGGCTCTGTTGCTGCCCTTTGCAATTAGGGTGGTTAATTTCTCTGGTGTATTCCCCCTCCCCAAAATTCTTACATATTATGCAAATTAGTCGATAAATATACCAATTGGTTTACAGAAAGGAATAACAATAAAACAGGGGGCCTTCTAATCAGAGTGGTACAATGCAATTCTAGTTGAATGCTGTGGCAATAATACATTTTGCTGAAGAATTGGATGTCAGATTAAGTAAAATAAAGACATATTGCAGTGCTGAAGGCACATATTTAAAATGCAACCCAAATAAGAAAGGTTCCAATGGCAGTTTATAAACACGTGCTTATGTAGTTCAGTGGTAGTCAACATGTTACCTTCAGAATTCACAAAGAGCAAATTCCTCAAGAATTCCTACTTTTCCACCATCATTCATGTCACTCTACCACCTTAATGTCAAGTCCACAATTCTGAGACTAATTTTTTAAAAGTAAACCCTATATAACACAGTGGGGCTTACTTCTGAGTAAACACGCCTAGAGTTGTATTGACACTGTCTTCCAGCAAAACCCATATAATAGGTTAAAAACGCCTTTCTGTTTCCACTGTCAATAAGTTTAGATGTGCATGCCCATCACTTAATTTCTGTACACTACACAATTATTTGCATGTGCAAAACCTCCAGCTCAAACCACTACAGATCAAACACTATAGAAATAACTTTCTTATCACTACAAGTTATATCAGACAAAATGCTTTTAAACCGTGAAAACCACACATTCAGTTGTATGCCATCTGAGATGAAGAGATTTCTAATGATGTGTATGAGTTATGGTTCAGACCTAAAATTACACTTCAAATGCCAAAGATAAAATGACTGTAGGCGGTTTGCAAGCTGGAAGGGATATGTGTTAACATGTCACTTTCAGTAACCCAGCACCAGCCAAATAAAATGAGAAACTGGGACAATCCATATGATCTAGATTCGGTCCGCACAACGCAGCAAGCTAAGAGTAGCTTGTCAGACATAACAAGTCATTCACATCCTCCTTATTTTTACAGTCAAAGACAGGCAGAAATCTCAGCAGGTCTTATCAAGCCCCAGGTGGACTGCATTTAGCATGATGGGTGACAAATTGTGCTGACCAGATCTAGTGGCACCAGAAGCAATACTCTCATGTCACTGCACAGCTGGTTCAGACTTAATACCAGATAGCCATTAATGAATAACCAAAATTACCCAGAATGCTGTGAGATATTTTTACAGGGAATACTCACCATGTTAATCAACCATTTGGGAGGGAGATGCACCTTAACTAAGCTATTGTAGCCTCCCATCCAGTTCTCTGCTACGTCAACATCCATCAGTACTATGAGAGACTTCTATGATGAGCCTACCCAATAGCGACCTTTGTATCTGTGGCTTCCATTTTCAAAATACAAAGCTCCATTTTAGGAGACAACCTAACAGGAAAGATCAATGAGGATTTCGGTTCTTCTCTGGTTTGGATTTCAGGGCCGTGACATTTGATTTTATATTTGAAGCAAACATTTATAAACAGCTGAGATTCAGATTTCCGAGTTAGGAAATGTGAAATTCAGCAGCTGAAATAGCCCAACTTAGCACACAGAAACCAGAAATCTGTATGGATTTCAAAAAGGAATGTCATGAACCTTAGGGTATGTGTCCCCCCCCCCTGCCAAGCTATGCTTGTTTAAGAATGTCCAGGGCACCTGCCAAAATAGTGAGAAATAGGCCTTTCTAACAGATCAAACTGCAGAACATGCTCAGACTGTTTTACCCTGTTTTAGTGGTTTAACAAGAGCATTGGGCGAGGCAACTCAAAGGCCTACAACATTCTCACAGGCTTGATTACCTACTTGACAGAGCAAAAATGACCATTCTGTTAGAGCAGGGGTGAGGAACCTTCTTCAGCCTGAATATCACATTCCCTTCTGGGCTATCTGCCGAAGGGCATGTGGCAGCGGTGGGTAGGTTCTACAGACCAAATTGGGTGGAGCAACAAATGTATGTTTTACCTTTATACAGTAGGGTAGTACACATTCACACAAAAAAACCTTCTATACTCCTTCCAGGCACAAGCAAGAGGCATTATTGGAGTTCAATGGCACATTTCAGTCAGCCAGGGAGGGCTCTGGCCTGGGGAGAGGTGTTGCCTAGGGTGATTTCCAGACAGAGAGGCCTTGAGCTCCACATTTGTTGCCTGGCCTGAGATTTCCCCACCCATGCAAAACAACCAAACAAACAACACCCCATAGGTATTTCTAAGTGCACAGAACTTCTTTTGGAGGAAGGCACCAATCCTGAACAAGATTATTATTCTTTTCCAGGCTTCTCCATTTCACTGTTTCCCCAGGCACCCATGTACTTCTCAGGCCATTAAACCGCTTCTTCTGAAATTCAAATGATTTGTTGTATTGGCTGTACTAAAAGAAAATATTTGATCAAAGTTTGATTATCCCCCCAGTTCCTGTAAGCAATAAAAAAATTAACAGTCTGAGCCATGTAAAAGCAAGATAACGAAGGCACTGTGTAGAAAGTTGGTATTAAATGAAGGTCTTTACTCAAAGCGCCTATCGCTATAGATAAGAGAATTAGAGAAATACACAGCTAGACAGCATATCAGGATATTTGTTTTCCATTAGTTTCATATACTTTTGTTACCTAGTATGCTGCTGTATAATAAGAATCAGTTCACACATAGGCTGTGTTGTTTCATGGCCACAATCTTTTCCATTGGAAAGATTTCCAGGAAAAACAGACCAAAGACTTGTGTCTCTCAATATAATGTTCTTATCCTAAAAGCAGTTGCAGAAGCTCCCTTAGATCCCTTGTATAGGGAGATGAGTCTAAGCCCATCCATCCACCCTGTGCCATGGCCCTGATCCAAATCCTTCTCCCTAAGCTACTATTAGCTACAGAGAGGAAAACATACAGACAACTATTCAATCTGCTTGTTTTCCACACTTCAGCTAATAGCAGCCTGGAGTTGGCTCTGTAGCATATAGGGAAACGATAGGGTCTTCACTCCTCTGCCACTTTTAGAAGACAGAAATTACACTGGGCGATGCATTCCCCAATCTACTATGAAGCATCTAGTACATGAAGCACTTTAAACCTTCTAAAATTCTATATACCGGTAAATGCCTGAAACCCAGTGCTATTGCATGTTGCTGTGGAAGTCACACTAATTAACGGGGTTTACATTCAGGTTAAGCATTCATAGAACTGCAGATTCTACCAATTTTCCCAATGCCCCTCTCTTTTTTGGGGGGGGGGTCTCTTTTAAAGGAGCAACATGGCAGTGTTGGGAAGGGGTTTGCATTTCACGAGCAATCTCCAGTTGCGTGCTTTCTGAGTTCCCAGCAGCAAAAGCGGCGGTATCTGGAGGGAAGCCATCATGAGTGCAGAGTTACAAATATGCCATTGTTGTTCCAAAAAATGAAATATCTGTACAGGCCTTTAGACAGCACGGTAAAGATAGACCTCTGCAAAAAGCTGCATGAAACACTCCATGTTCAAATGCAGCTTTTTCTATTCCCAACAATGAAAGAAGAGGAGCTGAGCTTACCAAGGTCCAGGTGAATCCCTGGAACAAACGAATTGAGGAAGAACATGAGGATAACAACTCCCAAAACGGTCAGGCATTTGATGAGAAGCACCTTGTCTGTTATTCTGTGCTGTAGGAAAGGAGAAAATACAGAAACCGTATCAACAAGAAGCAGCACCCTTCAGATATATCAGCATGCTTTAAATATATATTATTTGAAATATGGTTTTTAACAACAATACGGTCTAATCCATTAAAGTGAGAGAGGAAATGCCTGAGGTGTGAAACAATATCTTAAATTTAGAAAGGAACTGTGTCTTGTTTCCACAAATGTTAACACATTTTTCAGAACAACTCTGTTTACAGTCTAAGGAACAGTATAGAGGCAGATGCAGCGACCCTAAGGTGCAGTTTCATCTTAGTTACACAAATAAAAGGAAGCTTTATGTCTTATCAGTTACAGGGCCTGGAAGTAAACGTGTTTATTAAATTTGTTTCTCCTTATAACGGGAGCAGTAAGGCTGGAATGCAATTTCCAACATAAATACTTGATACCTTGATAGGCTCGGATTGTGTGCCCCAGCGGGCTCTGTTCCTAGCATCAGTCTTTTCCTGTTTCTTTATAGCCCTTACTATTTCATCCCATTCTCAGGATCACTTCACTCATTACAGTTTCCAACTTCTTGTCTAGGAAACAATGTGAAACTCACAAACTCACATATGGCTATGCTACACCTGAGCACTGTACAGTGTAGACTTGGGCTGCGTACATGCCATATGATGCCCACTCTTCATTGAACATTTATTCTGATTAGTTTGTGGAGAGGTTATACAACAATCAGCAAACTAATATTGCAAACTAATATCAGTGTACTGCATGAAGCAAAGATCACTAGTGTTGAAGCAATGATTCTTCAACATCAACTTCGTTGGACTGGTCATGTTGTGCGGATGCCTGATGATCGTCTTCCAAAGCAACTACTCTATTCCGAACTTAAAAATGGAAAGCGTAATGCTGGTGGTCAACAATAGAGGTTTAAAGACTGTCTCAAGGCAAATCTTTAAAAAATGTAGTATAAACACCGACAACTGGGAAACACTGGCCTGCGAGTGCTCCAGTTGAAGAACAGCCTTTACCAAAGGTGTCATGGACTTTGAAGACACTCAAACTCGGAACGCAAGGGAGAAACGTGCTAAGAGGAAGGCACGCTTGGCAAATCCACACAGTGATCAACTCCCGCCCAGGAATCATGTGGAAGGATGTGTGGGTCCAGAATTGGCCTCCACAGTCACTTACGGACTCATTGTTAAAACTGTGTTTATGGAAGGCAATCTTACTCAGCTATGAGTGATAGAAGAAGAAGAAGAAGAAGAAGAAGAAGAAGAAGAAGAAGGAGAACCTGGACAGGGAGTTGCAGCCTGTCACAGGGCTTCCCCTAGTCCCCCCTGGTGGGTGAAAGACTATACTTGCAGCCAGCTATTATATCCATCCCTGGTCAACTGCTGTGCATGGCAAGATAGCCAGCCTAAACCAAATATCTGAACTTCCCGATCAGGGGCAGGTGGGTGGGTGAAGCTGGAGCAGCAGACCAGAGTGCTGAAGTCTTCACTCCAGTCCATCACTTGCAGATATAAGCCGGCTGCATTTGCCTCTTGCATTACTTTCCAAACCATAAAAAGTCAGTTTCCTTTTTTTTATAGTGGATTTGTTTCACCCAGGCACATCAATCAACCTAGGTATGCACTTGCATCCCTCCAGGAAAATACTGATAGTCTGGAGGATCCCTTTATCAAACCAAGGTAGTTTAAGTACTGTTCCAAGTCATCTTTGTTCTGTGACATTTGCTTTTTTCTGTAAGGAACAAGTCAAAAGTTCACATTATAATTTCTACATGGTGATACTTCTAAACCCTGAAAGCGGAGGATCATGGTAGATTTTCGAACAGAAGATTTATGTTCCTATCTGGCTTCATGCATGAAGTCCAACCTAAACTACATAAAACCAGTTGTTTGGAAGTTATGGACTGCAGAGCAATTTGTGCACTGAAAGGCACACAGTGTTATAGTAAAATGAATGTAATAGAATATGGTGGGCAATGTTTTGCAATGGTATGAAGGCAATACATTACCTTTTTTTGGAGCTCCTGGATATTTGTTTCCCAGTTTTTATCTTCTTGTGAGATTTGTCTGAAATAAAAATCCACAGAGAGATTCATATGGACGGGACAGCTCTTGTAGTATGGCAGTTGCAATACTGTACCCAGTTAAGCAAAATCATATCGAAATTAATCTGAGTCTCTTTATTAGTGCTCAGCCCTAGATCATTTTGTTACAAAGGGTGTTGTAATGTGAAGTTTCCAGGGTCTGTTAACTGCATCTGTTTTCTTCCAAAGAGAGAGAGGGAGCCCTTAATGGAGACTTAAGCTGGTCTTGGAAAATCTGTGTATTCATAAGTTATACATGTAAAGCATAAGAGAAATGAGATTTGCTTAAAAGTGTTAATGTTTCCAATCTGCAGCCAATTATAAAAAAATAATCAAAGCATGGTAATGATTTTTATCATCACCATTATCACTAAATAATGATGCTTTATGTGTTTAGTGCCATCAATGTGCATGGCACTTCACAAAGTACAAGGGGACAGGTCTCCTCCCCAGGGAAAATTACAATCTAATTTTTGGCAAAGGAGAAAACAAAGGGGAGACTGTGACAACAGCCTTACTTTTTCTTATATGCAAGATATTGCATGTCTAAACCAGGTTGCTACGCATGACCTCCCATGAGCTCAGTGACCTTTTGTAAAATGTCGCATTAAGTGTCATGGACCCTACCTGTGGAATGTTTTCAGCTTTTTCCTCAGCAAAATCTCCAGAGTAAGAACTTTTTGCATTAGGAGGCACTTTACAGCTGTTTCTTCTCTGCTGGCAGGGTTAATCCTCTGTGCTGTCAGTCTCCAAACGTGGATTTCATGTTTCAGCTCTAAGGAAGGCAGGAATATAATTATTTAGCTGAAAGTGAAGACACGGCATATTAAATCACAGCAAAATAGCTGATGGCACACACACACGGTATCCTGGGTCAAAAACTGAAGCTTCAAAAACAAAATTGTATAGTGACTAACATCATTCATTGAAAGATTTATACATCAGGGGTCAGATCCAGAATTGCACTCAGCAGAGGAAGGGTAAAGCAGTAAGACCTTCCGAACTCACCTGAAAGGGTGGATCTTAGAGGAAGTGGTAGATGACACATTGCCTCTTCCCCTTGATAGGGTTAGCTCGCCCAGTTTGTTATGTGCAATTTACTATCCTGCACCTAAGTCCCCTTCTCCAGACCTTATGTGAAGTTTAAAAAATGTGGCTGAATTCACCCAGCCCTTGTGTCTTGCCTTCTTACTTCCCCGTGTGAACACAAATTGTTATATCAATAATATACAGTGGTATCTCAGGTTACATACGCTTCAGGTTACAGATGCTTCAGGTTACAGACTCCGCTAACCCAGAAATAGTACCTCGGGTTAAGAACTTTGCTTCAGGATGAGAACAGAAATCGTGCTCCGGCGGCACGGCTAAAGAGGTGCTTCAGGTTAAGAACAGTTTCAGGTTAAGAATGGACCTCAGGAACGAATTAAGTTCTTAACCCGAGGTACCACTGTATGTCAGTAAGGCCACGGTAAAGTGGTTTGGCTCACTCTCACTTTCTATACACAACCAAGGCTTTGGAGTTATATATCAAGCGGTAGGGCAGAGACCAGTTCATCCAGTACAGACTAGTTGATTGCCTAGAGGTTCACAGCACCTTTCAGACAAAGGAGAAATACAGACTGCCCTTCCCCACTGTGTCTATAAACCATTTTATAAGGGTGTTCTGCACTCAGTTGCCAAACACTGGGGTCCATTTCAAGGGATCACATGTACAGAAATTCAAATGTACATCTAGGAAATTTTTGAAGCTGGTTTAGAGCATTTTCAGCACTAATATGCTCTGACAGGCATTTTGCTCATAGGTATACTTAATTCATAATCTCAGATAGGTTAAATATTCATGGAACCATTATTCTTAGCTATGTCAACTTGTGTAATTACTTTACCAAGAGAGCACTGAGACTCCGAAATCTTATTCAACATTTAAATCCCCGTCTTTCTCCCAGCACCTGATCATTCCAATGTATAAAAGATTAATGTGCAGTTTAGTCTAACACAGATCTATCCTTGGTTAATCAAATATAATGCCATTGTCAATATAATAAGGTCGCATATAAGCATTAGACTTGGGTTGTGTGTATATTTTTTTAAAAAAGTTGCCTCAGCTATGACTTTTATGATGCTGTCCTATTATCTGAAAGTAAGTACCACTGAACTAAGTGAAGCTAACTTCTGAATAGACATGTATAGTATTCCACTGTTAGAATCTGCAAAACTACCCAATACGTAAATGGATCCTTTTTTATTTAAAAAATGTGGCTAATTATCTTTATGTTAGAAGCTGTGATAGATAAGGTCTTTTATAAATAGTCTGTATATATTCTGCCAGTGGTTTTTCAAGCTTTCTGCCTTCAAGGCACCCTTGTCATATTAACTTGTCTGGCATGAAGCCCTTCAATGTGTTCTCCACATATTGCAGAGAATTTCCAGATATGTTCTAAAACAGGAATGGGATTTTTTAAAATAAAATCCTCAATATGATGGGATTATTACCAACTAGCTGGAAAAAAAAGGAGTTGCAGCTTGTCTCTTGAATCAATAGACCAACTATTATTACTAAGCAAGCAGTGCTGGTTTCCTGTTGGGCACAATTCAAGACACTGGTTTTGACCTGTAAAAATGGTTTAGCACACACATGCAGATATTCCCATATAAACCTGCCTGCTTCAAAATCCCACCCCTTCAATGTATAAACATGGGCCTTCTGGGGTATAATTCCAGTATTCTAAGCTAAGATACAGTGGTGCCCCGCAAGACGAATGCCTCGCAAGACGGAAAACCCGCTAGACAAAAGGGTTTTCCGTTTTGGAGGTGCTTCGCAAAACGAATTTCCTATGGGCTTGCTTCGCAAGACGAAAATGTCTTGCGAGTTCCTGCAGGGTTTTTTTTCCTTTTCCCCCCCTTTTTCCCAAGCCGCTAAGCCGCTTATCAGCTGATCCGCTAATCCACTAAGCCGCTTATCAGCTGATTCGCTAAGCCGCTAAGCCATTTATCAGCTGATCCGCTAAGCCCGCTAAGTCGCTAATAGTGCTAATCCGCTAAGCTATCAATGGGCTTGCTTCGCAAGACGAAAAAACCGCAAGACGAAGAGACTCGCGGAACGGATTCTTTTCGTCTTGCGAGGCACCACTGTACAGCATTTCAGCAGGAAGGTATGGGATAAACACTGATTGGGAATCAAGAGATGTGACTGCTTCAAAACTTCTCCTGCACAAACAGCATTTGGAAGCAAGATCACATATAACCGCTTCAATAGTATCATCATGAAAGCACAATAAAAAGGATGTCTGTGGGGACTCTGGGTTTATCATGGCCAAATGTAGCAATATGTCACATTTCTAGACTTTGGGGGATTAAATGTTTCTAATGAGGAAAGGGGGGACATTACAAAGAATTGTAACTGCTGCCAGCCTTTCCCCATAGTCTCCCATATAGTTGTGGGCAGAACTTGCATTCAGGACTGAGGATGTTGTGGGACTCCAACTCTCATCTGCCTCAGCTAACATGTTCTATAGTCAGGGATAATGGGAGCTGGACTTTGACAACATATGGTAGGTTCCCCATCCCTAACGTAATGCACTACAGTGGAACCTCAGTCGTCAAATGCTTCAGAAGTCGAACGCTGACAACTCAGAAGTGAATGCTTCCATTTTTGAACATGCCTCAGAAATCGAACGGCTTCCAAGGCACATTTCTCCATTTTCTCCATTGCAATTGCCAACCAGCAATTGTGCCTCAGTTGTCGAACGTTTCAGAAGTCGAATGGTCTTCCGAAACAGATTACGTTCAGCAACCGAGTTTCCACCGTATATATAATTTTCCATTCTTTGGTTTATAAAACTCCAAAATAGTATCAGTAATACAATATTGAATATGATAGCCATGTTCAAATATATAAAAGGATGTCATATAGAGGAGGGAGAAAGGTTGTTTTCTGCTGCTCCAGAGAAGCGGACACGGAGCAATGGATCCAAACTACAAGAAAGAAGATTCCACCTAAACATTAGGAAGAACTTCCTGACAGTAAGAGCTGTTCGACAGTGGAATTTGCTGCCAAGGAGTGTGGTGGAGTCTCCTTCTTTGGAGGTCTTTAAGCAGAGGCTTGACAACCATATGTCAGGAGTGCTCTGATGGTGTTTCCTGCTTGGCAGGGGGTTGGACTCGATGGCCCTTGTGGTCTATTCCAACTCTATGGTTCTATGATTCTATGATATCTGTTGTCCATTCATGTTTGAAGGCATGCCTATTATGTACCTAATCCCTATTGCCACTGAATATTTACCTCAGCCAGGAAATATCTGTGGATAAAAGAAAAAGCAGACTGCTTCACCACCTATTTACCTACCAATCACTTCTATTCACAATAGTATTGTATATTTAATGTCCTTTTACATCATCAGAAGAGCAAGTTCAAAATCACAAATTACTGCTCTTCACTCAACTAAAGTCCTGACAATGTAATTTGTTGCTGAGAAAATTGCATCAGCTTTGAAATCTATCAAAACAATTTCCATTTACTCCCTACGAAGACACCGTAACTCAGAGTGTCAGGCTTCTAGGTCAACAACATTTCCAAAATCAAGTTAGCCAACATTTTTCATTAAAGGATAAGCTTACACTTTGCCAACTGTCCAGAGAAAAAGAAATCTCTCTGCAATTCATTATACTCGTTTCAGAAGCACATATACATTTTTCACCCTGCTTTCTTTCTTTCTTTCTTTCTTTCTTTCTTTCTTTCTTTCTTTTTAAAAAAAATCACAATTAAAACTGATGGGGTCAGGTAAAGAGTGATTGATGCAACCAGCTGTCAGCAATTGATATACACAATAGCCAATAGCCTATTATGAAGTGTGGAACTGCTCTCAGAAGGAGAGTTCGAAAATCATTTCAGTAATATATTGAGAAATTGATATTTCACTTAATGCTTTTAGTGTAACTATACCTTGTTAATATTGACATTTCTTTGGGATATAAATAACATTAATGAAATTAATTATAGTGGAAACACAAATACAGGGATGTATGTGTTGAACAGAATCAGGATGATCGACTTGGAAGGAACCTGGGATCCTCTAGACCAGAGGATCCCAAACTTATTTGGCCTTCCGCCCACTTTTCGGGGGGGGGGATTAATCAGCGCTCCCCTGGAAATCTACTTTCTTTAAGCAAACAAACAGAAAGATGCAGTGACAAACTTCCGTTCTTTTATGTTTCTATAGTTCTACCTACATCCTACAACGTAGTGAAGAAAGATGTTGTTGTAAAGAAGACACCTTGAAGCTTGAAATTATAAAATAGACAAGGAGGTGGACTAGGGACTGGGATTAAAAACCTGCCGGATCAGTCTGATCTGCCCCAGGGGTGGGGCCAGCACCACAGCTCACCTGCCAATGGCCAAGTGGACAAGCTGTGATCCACTTCCCAGTCCTAGGTGAAGCTAAAAGGGGTTCACTCAAGCCCAGAAAAAGCCCTTTCCTCCAGCATGACTGCCGGGTCCAGGGGAGGTGTTGCCATCCCGAAATGGCGCCCAACCTGGCAGTAAATGTCATTATACAAGAGATGATACATGTACACATGGGTGTAGCCAGGATTTTTGTTAGGGGGGCAGAACCTCAGTTAGCTAAGTATTTTTACTGATTGGGGGGGTCTGCCCCTCCCTGCCCCCCCGGCTACACCCATGCATGTACAAATCGTTTTTCAAAATTATCTTCTCTTCTTTATGCTTCCACCACCACACCCTTATTATTATTCAATGCATCCGAGGCAACTACTGCT